GAAGCGTGGTAAACAATTTGGTGGTTATAGAAGCACCGAGAATAGGCTAATTGTTGCATGGAAACCATTTTCCTTCCAGGTGGCCACAGAGATTCACTCAGGGAACCTAGGTGCAGCGCAGAAGTGTGTGTTTAAGAATGTGATCCTCACCCTAGGGCTTTGCCATCTAGTTGGGGAGGGGGGGCTAAATACACAAAACAGCAGGTAGGTTAAAAGCACTTCAAAGCAGCCAGCTAAAAGGCTTTTCTCTTTCGGAGACCAGGTGTCCCTTTTGGCTCAGGCTGGCCCTCGCTCCTGGGCTCCTCCTGTCTCAGCCTCCCGAGTAGCTGGGACTTCAGGAATGCGCCACTGCTCCTTGCTTAAGTGCTTCAGTACTCAGGGGAAGATTGTAAAGAGGCATTTCTGTGTGTGTGTGTGAAAGAGATGGGTGTGTGCAGCCAGTGTGCTGAGAGGATTCAAAAGGAAGTGGGTATTAAAACGAATACCAATCGGACAAATGAGGAAATGATATGTTACCCATGGGCATAGATTTCATACAGGCAATTATAAAAGACCAGGTAGTCTGTGCAGCACCCATCCACAAACCCTCTTCATTCTTGTTGGGAGCTGCAATGTACGGTTTTGGACTTTGGAGCTGGGCGGTCCAAGATTTGGGGCCTGCCTTTATTCCTCGGAGACCAGCTTTTGTTTTCTTTCCCATAACAATGAAGACAAACACCTACCTCAAAGAACCGTGGGGAGGACTAGAGACAACATGCTTGGCCTGGCTGCTGGAGTGGCTCACTTCTTCCCACTCCACCTGTACTGGTGTAGATGCTGAGCTGGCAAAGATGTCAGCCTCCTCCTGAAGCCCCTCCTGCTCAGAGCCTAAGGAGAGGGACTAAGACCTAGCTGTCACTGTGCGTGTAGGGACAGCTGAGGTGTCTGTGGACCCCGGGTAGCCCAAAGGAAGGGACTCGACCACAGCTGCCCTGCAGAGGAAGACAGAGCCACGAAAGAGGTCACACGGCCTCGTGTAAAATGACCAGGTTTATTGGGTAGCAAAGGGGAGGAAGAACATTCCAGGCTGAAGAAATGCCAGCTGCCAAGGCAGAGGCCTGCAAACACAATGTATGTGCAGAATTCGCTGGCTCGCCGTAAGCGGGGCAGAGGGACATGGTCCTTTGCTGTTCCGCATGCTTGCATCTGACTTGGTGCTAGTATCTGTATCTGTGGGGTACGAGTATCTCAGACCCCGTCAGCTGCCAACGTTTTTGGAGCATAAATCCTATACATATTGTCCTATATACCTCAAAGCCAAGGTCAGGTACTACATGCCTGTAACCCCAGCACTTGGGAGATGGAAACTGGAGGAGCAGGAGTTCAAAGCCACCCTCGGCTACTTAGTCTTAGAGCAGTCTAGGTCACCTGAGATCCTGTGTCCTCCCCTGCTTCCCCCAAACCACCTATCTCTAGGTTGCTTATAACCCATGTAATACAATATAAATAGATTTTTATTGTTGTTTTTGTTCCACTTTCTCTTTGAGTGTGTGCACTGAACCCTTCTGCGTTTGTGTTTTGAAAAAGGGAAAAGGGTTTCCCTATATAATCCCATATATTATATATTATATGAGCCTTATCTCATTTCCTTATCTCGGCCCAGTCTATTGTCCTGCCTCAGCCTCTGGAATTAGAGGCCTGTGCCCCACACCCTACTTTAAAGAAAAAAAATTTAAAGAATATTTATTTTTATTTTGTATGAATGGAGTTTTGGCTGCATGTATGTCTGTGTACCTACCACATGTGTACGGTGCCCATGGAAGCCAGAGAAGGCGTTTGATATCTTGAAACTGGGGTTACATTTGTGAGCTGCATGTGGGTGCTGGGAATTGAACCCAGGTCCTCTTGAAGAACACCAAATTCTTTTTTTAAAAAGATCTTTGTTGTTTTGTTTTAGACAGAGGGTCTCTCTACGTAGCTCTGGCTATCGTGAAACAAGCTGTGTAGGGACTGGCCTTGAACTCGCTACATAGAGGGTCTTCCTCTAGAGCCCAGGGTAACCTTGAATTTGGGATCTTCCTGTTCTTTGAGAGCTGTGAGTACCACCATCTCAGACCAGTGCTTCCACGCTGCACTTTTTGAGGGACTAGTGACAAGGGAAAAGTCGTATAAATATTCAAGACAGAAGCGCTTTTTTTTTTTTTCTGAGATGAGGTCCTGCTGTGTTTCCACGGCTGTTTTTAACCTCCTGTGTTCAAGTGGCAATCCTACCTCAGCATCCCTAGCAGCTAGATGTGATCTGTTCAGCTGGCTTGAGACAGTTTCACTTGGTAACCTAGGCTGAACTCTTGGCAGTCTTCCTAAACGCGAGTGTGAGGAGGATGACCTTGAACTCCCGTTCCTCCTGGCTCGGTCTTCCAAGCTCTTGATTGCAGGTGTGTACCATCACACGTGGGTGTACTTAGGGTTTATAAGGCCCTGGGTTCCACCCCTTACCATCACATGCTACAGTGTGGCTGGATGCATGGAAGGATGGATGGAAGAACGAGCAGATCTTGGAAACAGGATGCTATGTGAAATAAGCCAGACACTGGGCGAACACTGTATCGCTCCACTCCAGTGAGGCATCTAGAACAGACAATTCAGGGACATAAAGTAGGAAAGAGGGTACCAGAGACCGGGGAAGGGGTGAGGCAGGTGGTATTGCTTTATGAGTATAGCACTGTTGGACATAATAAAAAAAATTGGTTTCTGGAAATGATTTGTTGTAAGACATATATTAACAGCATGATGTTATACCCTCTTTAAAATGATGCTAAGGGATAGCGAACGGCTCAGCAAGTACTCAGGGGACTTGCTGCTCTTCCAGAGGTCCCAACTTTTGCTCCCAGCACAACTGCCTGTAACTTCAGCTCCAGGAGACCCTGGATTCTGGCCTCCTCCGTCACTACACTCATATGCACGCCCTCACCACCACACACAAATACACATAATTAAAATAGTAATAACAAGGACTTGGAGAGCCAAGTGGTGCACGCCTTTAATCCTAGTACTTGGGAGGCAGAGAGGCAGGAGGAACTCTGTGAGTTTGAGGCCAACTTGGTCTACATAGTGAGTTCCAGACCAGATGGGGTTAAAGAGAGATTCTGTCCCAGGACAGCCAGAGCTACACAGAGAAATCCTGTATAAAACCAAACCAAACCCCAGAGAGATGGCTCAGAGGTTGAAAGCACTTGTCGCTCTTGCAGAGGACTGTGGTTTAGTTACCCCAACCCACATGGCTGCTCACAGCCTCTGCCACTCCAGATCTAAAGAGCCTGATGAAGAAGTTCTAGCCTCCAAAGGCACCGGGCACACACGTGATTCACATCCATGCACTCAAGCAGAGTGTTCATAACCATAAAACTTTAAAAAAATAACTTTTTAAATTAAATAAAATGATGTTAGAGTCGGGTGCAGTGGGAGACACCTGCATTCCCAGCTGAGGCAGAACACTTCAACCCTGGAACTCAGGCCAGACAGCCTGGGCAGCATAGTCAGACTGTGGCTCCAGGAAGAGAAGTCAAATAAAATGTAAAAAGTGAAACTGGAGCTAAGGATGGTGGCGCACACCTGTAACCCTAGCACTTGGAAGGTTGGGGCAAGAGGCTCAAGAGTTCAAGGCCAGCCTCAACTTCACATCAAGTTTAATGCCAGCTTAGGCTACCTGAGACCCTGTCTCAAAAAAAAAAAAAAAAAAAAGTAAAGATCAAGTTATATATATTCTAACACACACACACACACACACACACACACACACACCTGAGTATGAGGCAGCGATGGGGAGGTGGCTCCTGTGGCCTCTTGCCTATGAGGGAGGTGGGGCCCTAAGGCCCTATCTTGTCCATTATCTACCTCTCGGCTCTCTGTGGTGCACCAATTGGTTCCCTGGTAGGGAGTGTACCATGGCTGTAAGGAGGGCTCACAGTTCTTGGGGCTGCAGTTCTGGACCTGTGGGTTGTGTCTCCTTTGGGGATAACATATCGTATCCTGCATATGAGATATTTACATTCATAGCAGTAGCAAAATTACAGTTACCAAGTAGCAAGGAGATAATGTTATGGTTGGGGGTCACCACAAATGAGGAACTGTATTAAAGGGTTACAACATTAGGAAGGTTGAGAACCTCTCACTGCCTTGGAGCCTTCCCCCACCTTTCTGACGGGAATGCTAAAGTGCTCTAAATGTGCCTCTGACCAGGGCTGCTGGCAACTGCCTTGCAGTACACCGGCACATTCTTATTCTCATTTTGTAGATGAAGAAATGCAGCGTTAGTTTAGTCAAACTGAATGCAGCTGGTCTCTCTGACAGAAGCCAGCCCACAAGGGACAGGTGAATACGATGGACAGGACTGGGATTGTGCTGGACTTGAGAGTCTGAACTTTATCCCTAGATAACAGGGCACCCACCCAGCCCCAGGCCCAGAGGAAGTGTGCAGCAGCCCTTCTCCCGCTGGTCAGACCTATTTGTGCTGTTTGTTGGTAGTCTTCCTCTAATGGACCGTGAAGTAGGTGGGTGGGACAAGGCCTTTGTTTTGTTGTTTGTTGCTGGAGCAGGCTGGAACCTTCTAAGGATTCCGTAAGCATTTAAGAGCAGGAGGGAAGGCAGAAATGGAAGCATTTTCATCTTACTTAATGTCCAAACAACGTCTTGAAGTAGAAGGCACTCAGACTCCTTCACAGTGCACCCAGATAAGGAAAGTGAAATTCAGAGGGAATGCCGTCTCTGGGGTCACAAAGCAAGGCAAGTGACAAAGCCAGCACTCCAAGCATAGCCTGTCTGGGATCGGTGACCGCAGGACCTGGGCAGGACACTGACGACAGAGGGGCGCTATAAAGTCATTCTGGCAGAAGGATGGAGTAGGTGGAGCGAAGAGCCCTGAGGCTGAGAAAGGACCCACGGAGGGCAGTCGTGTTAGCTAAGCATTTAGAGGACGGTTCTGTCTCTACTAACTTTATTTTTGCCTTGCCTTCCTATTCCAGGTCTCCGCTGCTGAAGTTGTGGTACCAAAGGCTTCCAGCCTTGGCCAATCATCTGCCCCTGAGGTCATAGACTCCACTCCCATGTCTTGCCTCTGCTGGCTTTGGGACAGACTCAGCATAGCCACCAGGCTACCACCCTGGAGGTGAAAGCCATGCTCGTACCTTAGCATTCCCCATGATGCCTCAGCCTAGTTTCTCTTCCCACTTGGACACGATGTTTGCCAATTCTTCAGCCAATGCCTCTTCTACCAACAGCCCTGTGCCCCAGTGCCGTGACTATCGGGGCACACATCGTCTGCATATGGTGGTCTACAGCCTGGTGTTGGCGACTGGTCTCCCTCTCAACGCTCTGGCTCTATGGGTCTTCCTGCGTGTGCTGCGCATAAACTCGGTGGTGAGCGTGTACATGTGTAACCTGGCAGCCAGCGACCTGCTCTTCACCCTGTCACTGCCCCTGCGCCTCTCCTACTATGCACGGCACCACTGGCCCTTCCCGGACTTCCTGTGCCAGACGTCGGGCGCCATCTTCCAGATGAACATGTACGGCAGCTGTATCTTTCTGATGCTCATCAACGTGGACCGCTACGCGGCCATCGTGCACCCGCTGCGACTGCGCCACCTGCGGCGGCCCCACGTGGCGCGGCGGGTCTGCCTAGGCGTCTGGGCGCTCATCCTGCTGTGCGCCGTGCCCGCCGCCCGCGTGCACAGCCCGTCCTCCTGCAGGTACGAGAACAGCACCGTGAGCCTGTGCTTCGAGAGTTTCAGCGATCAGCTGTGGAAGGGCGGGCTGCTGCCGCTGCTGCTGCTGGCTGAGACCCTGGGTTTTCTGCTGCCCTTGGCGGCTGTCGTCTATTCGTCGGGCCGGGTCTTCTGGACGCTGGCGAGGCCCGACGCCACTCAAAGCCACCGGCGCCAGAAGACCGTGCGCCTCCTGCTGATCAACCTCATCATCTTCCTGCTGTGCTTCGTGCCCTACAACTCCACGCTGGCTGTGTACGGGCTGCTGCGGGCCAACCTGGTGGAATCCAGCCTTGAGGCCCGCGATCAGGTGCGCGGTGTGCTGATGGTGATGGTGCTGCTGGCCGGCGCCAACTGCGTGCTGGATCCGCTGGTGTACTACTTCAGTGCCGAGGGTTTCCGAAACACCCTTCGCAACCTGGGCACCGCGCTCCAGACGAGGCCTCTGGCTACCAATGGGGCTCGAGGCGTGCTCACCGAACCACCCTCAGAAACCACCCAAAACACCGGGCAGGACGCCACCAGTCAGGGGTTACTCCAGCCTGGCAATCTGGAAACACACATCACCCAGAGCCCCCAGGATTCAGCCCTCTGAAAGGACACAGCGTCACAGTGTACTCTCGGGCCTCCCTTAGGGTGTACTTTTCAGCGAGGTGGGCTGGGGACTTGGACTTTGAAGCAACTGCAGTCCTAGTGTGCCGAAGGAGATAAGTGTGTGAGCAAGGGCAGGAAAGCCAGAGTGTTGCTGGTGACAGCGGTTAGCTCTGGTTTTTCTTCAGAGGAAGTCTGCTCCAGGAAGTAGGAAGCCACGTGGTGAGTATGCTCATGGCTAAGAGCTGATACATGGAAGAGAAGCTGGAACTCCTGGATTTAGGTCATCAGTCTGAGAACTGAAGATTCCCTGACCTTGGTGAATCAGCTACACAGAAATTCATCCGTCATCTTCAAATACAAAACTCAGGGTTGGTGGTAGAACCTAGAACCCACTGCCTGCACATGCTGGGCCACCTCATCCCCACTGAACCCCATCCCAGCCCACCTGCTGCCTTCTGTGCTGATGTGAGGGCCATGGGCGCCACGCCGCCTGCCCTCAGGTTCACTTGGCTTCCCTGCGCAGGTGGGAGGCAGAATACACAGGTTTATCTGATATGCACTGACCTCTTTTGTGACCTGTAACAGTTTAGACTTGACACCCAGTATGAGGTGGTGGGGGCAGAGCAGAGCTACGGGTTGATTCCCTCCCAAATCCTGGTTCTTTGTCCCTTTCTCGGCACGTTTTCTCCTTCTGCCACTCTCTGGGCCTTTTCCATTCTGTGTCTTTAGTTTTCATCCTCTTCCCCCCCCCCCCCCCTAGACTGTGCTGCTGACCTTGAACTTGGTACTTAGTAGAGGCTGGCCTTGAATTCTTTTTTTTTCTTTTGAGACAGGGGTTCTCTCTGTTGGCCTGGAATTTTTATTTGAGGAAGGCTCTCTCTACACAACCGCCACTCTGCTTCACCCCCTCCTCACTCATTCTCTCCATACCTGTCCCTCTCTTCCTTTCTCCTCTCCCTCTCTTCTCCCCTCCCCCTGCTCTGCTCTCCTCCCCTCTCCTCGCACCTCTCCTTCTCTCCTCTCATTCCTCTCTCCCTCCCTAAGTCTTAACATTTTTTAAATCAAGCATCAGTCCTCAAACTGTTGGGTCTCCAATCCCTTTATGCAAAAATTGAGAGACCTGAGAGCTTTTTTTTTTTTCTTTTTTCTTATGTTTTTGAAACATGTTAAATGTGTTAAACAATACAGAGGGACATACTCCATTTAGCCAAGAGCAGTGATGTCATCACATTTCATAAACCTTCTGGAAGCTTCTGTATATACTGGGGCGAGAACCAGCATTAGTTCTGGGACGTGTTAGTGTTACAAACATAGTTTTGACCTCAAGGACTTCTTCAGAAAGCCCAGAAAGCTCTGGGTCACACTTTGACATCACTAGCTCTGAAGTATTAGAGTTCACATCTAACTTCCTCTAGGATGTTGTTTTTTGACTCTGGGATGAGGGCATTGATTAGCTAATTGCTAATTGTGGTTCTTAAGAAGGTGGGGAGTGGGGGTTGGAGGCCGGGTGTACAGCCAGACACACAAATGCAGGGCCAGGGTGGAGCATTTCTGAGGAAGGAAAAGACATAGTGTTCAGCAGGAGAGAAGACTGTACAGGGAAGTAAGGGGGACAGGAACACAGGAAGAGCTCTCAGCAAGCAGAGCCTGCCTTTACAGCAAGCAGGCGGCCAGCAAAATGGTTTTCTTCCCTCTTTATCCAAGTAGCAGTTGGGTTGCTGGGAAGGTTGCAGAGTTGGTCCTGCGACAGTTTTAGATCCTGACATTGAGAACTGTGATCACGTATGTGTCCTTTACGCACTGTGGCCCTGTGTCTCCCACTACAGAGAGATTTCCCAAGTGCTTCTGTTTCAGTTACGATTTGGGCCTTTTGTGTCTTTACAAGGGTTTCGGTTGGTGATTCACAAGAGTAAGATGACCTCTGGTGGCCAAACCAGGGAACTAACCTCGCTTCCTCAATGATAGGCTAGTATCAGTCCAGGTGGATGGGAGTCCCCCACCAGGCCCTTACCACCAGCTGCTCTACAGAGGCCTGCTGTTAACATCTGTCCCTTGCTCCTCTGGATTCAAGGTCTGTGCTCTTCCTGAGAGGATAATATAAGCAACATCAGCCCTGCTCGGCTGAATCTCGGAAACTGCTACCCAAACAGAGTTAAACAGAATCGTCAAAAGTCTTGGGGGTAAGGGTGTGGAGTCTGTGGATGTAGCTCAATTGGTAGAGTGCTTGCCTCTTGCCTTGCATGCATGAAGTTCCAGGTTTGAAACCCAGCACCACATAAACCTGGCCTGGTGTTGTATGCTTGTAATTCCAGTACCCAAGGAGTGGGGTCCTGGTGGCACAACCCTTTAATCCCAGCACTGGGGCAGCAGAGATGGGCACCTCTCTGTGAGTTTCAGGCCAGCCTCATCTACATAAAGAGAGTTCCAGACAGTCAGGGCTACATAAAGACCCTGTCTGAAAGAGAGGAAGAAAAAAAAGAAAGAAAGAAGTGGAGACAGGAAGCTCAGGAGTTCTAGGTTGTTCTCAGCTCTGGGATACATAAGACTGTCTCAAAACAAAACAAAACAAACAAAAAAAAACCACAAAGTTCCCAGCTGCGCTGTGGGGGCCTATGCCTCTAAGTCTTAGTCTGGTGTGCATGCCTATAACCCCAGCTTTGTGGATACTGAGGCTGGAGAAGCATGCATTTGAGGCCAGCACCTGCAAGTCACTAGGTGTGATCTCTAGCACTATAAAGCTAAATCAAGAACAAATACATTGACAATATGAGTACTTTCATATTCCGGTTCTGAGCCGACTCTAGAGTAATTAAAACAGCGCGCATCACCCCATGGACCATGTAACTTATTCCAGTGTTTGTATGCGTTCCCTCTCTTCCTCCATCTCCCTGGCCGGGGAGCAAGGATTTGGTTGGTTGGTTCATTGATGTATTCATTGGCATCTAGAACAGTGCCTGGTACAGAGGAAGCACTCAATAAAGACTCGCTGAATGACCAGTCAGACCTCGTGACGTTCTTGGCCATCTACAGGTGAGCAGTAACGCTAATGGAAGACGGGAGGTAAAGGAAAGCAAGGAAGGTACTGGCGGTTAACTGGGGCGGGAGCCTGAAAAGTGCCCAGGGAGGTTTGCTCACAGACATACTTTTTGTTTGTTTGTTTGTTTTGTTTTTTGAGACCGGGCTTCTCTCTGTAGCTTTGGAGCTTGTCCTGGTACTCGCTCTGTAGCCCAAGCTGGCCCCTAACTCACAGAGATCTGTTTGCCTCTGCCTTCTGAGTGCTGGGATTAAAGGTGTGCTCCACCACTGTCCGCCTGGCGAGAACTGTAGGGAAATCAGGCTGGGAGACTCTAAAAAAGAGAGCGAGCTGTAGGAAGAGCTGCAGTACGGGGAAGTGTGGTCAGGTCCCTGGAAGAAGTGAACAGAAGCAGGTTGTCTCTAGGCTGGAACCCATGGTGTCAGATCCAGAACTGTTCCTACACATTTCACCACCGTGAGAACAGAGGCAAGACTAGATAAAAGAGGTACTGGAGCCGGCGGTGGTGGCACACACCTTTAATCTCAGCACTCAGGATGCAGAGGCAGGGGGATCTCTGCCAGTTTGAGGCCAACCTGGTCTACAGAGAGTTCCAGGACAAGACAGGGTAACACACAGAAACCCTGTCTTGAGAAACAAAACAAAATAAAAAGGTATTGTAGGCAGAGGGAATGAACAACACTGGATAAGTAACAGGCTGTGGAGACTGAAGAAAGCCCAGGTCGCTGCCATTAGTGTCCCCACCCCCCATCCCAGTCCAATCAGCACGCCCATGCTCTCTGGGCCTGCCCCATTTAACATCAAGGGGCATTCCAAGGAGAAAGAAGAGAAACTTCCCAGAAAATAAGAACAATCGTCAGATATGTTGGTACAGGATTGTAATCTTAGCTACTCAGGAGGTTGAGGCAGGGGGATCTTTTGTTCAAGGCCAGCCTGGGCAAGTGAGTGAGACCCTGTCTCAAAATAAACAGGGGGCTAAAGATATTTTTTTCCAAGCATGTGTAAAGACTTGAGTTCAACCTCCAGTATGGAAAAAAGAATGAATTAAAGGTAGAAACAAAGTATCTCTGCTCCCTCCCCCACAAAATAAACTGTTATTCCCATGACAGAAGTGTCAAGTGTTGACAGACACCCGAGGCTCCAAACTACTTTGGGGCCTGTGGTAGGAGAATTTAGAATTCAAGGCCAGCCTGGACAAAAAAGAAAAGATCCAAATCGGGCATTGGGGTGCAGGCCTTTAATCCCAGCATTCAAGAGGCAGAAGCAGGCAATCTCTGAGTTTGAGGCCAGTCTGGTCTACAGAGTGAGTACCAGGACAGCTAGGCTACACAGAAAAACCCTGTCTTGAAAAACAAACAAGAAAAAAGGAAGGAAGGAAGGAAGGAAGGAAGGAAGGAAGGAAGGGAGGGAGGGAGGGAGGGAGGGAGGGAAGGGAAGGAGGGAGGGAGGGAGGAAGGAAGGAAGGAAGGAAAGACCCTGTCTCTCAATGAATATATAAGCAAATAAATATTTTGTACACCAGGATTTCAATATAATTTTATATTTAATGCCTCTAATTTTTCTTTTCTTTTCTTTCTCTCTCTTTCTTTCTTTCTTTCTTTCTTTCTTTCTTTCTTTCTTTCTTTCTTTCTTCTTTTTGAGACAAGATCCCAGATCTCTCTGCTATCCTGGTACTCACTATGTGACCAGGCTGGTCTCTAGCTCACAGAGATCTGCCTGCCTCTGTTTCTGGAGTGCTGGGATTAAAGCTAAGCACCACTGCATACCTGGCTTGCTTTTTTGAGACAGGCTCTCGCCTGTCCCAGACTGTCTTTGAGCTCTCAATATTCCTGTCTCAGTTTCTGAAGTGTTAAGATCACGTATGCGCTCCACTGTGCTTTTATTTTGTCAAGAAAGGGTTTCTCTTTACCGTTGTCCCGGAACTCACTCTGTAGACCAGGATGACCTTGAACTCACAAAGCTCCACTCGCCACCTCACCACCACTGCCCCGCCCTGTGTTTCTAGGGTGTCTCATCTTATTTAGTTAGTATAATGGCCTCTGAGATATGAATATGATTGGCCCGTTTCACAGAGGAAATGTGTGAAACCTGAGGTCTGAAGGTCACACAACCAGGAAGTGGCTCAGTTTCCCAAACTCTCACTCTACTTTCAGACTTAGGAAAACTGTCACCCCCTCCCTTAATCATGCAACCAATGACATTCCCAGCTGCTTTCCCTCCAGCCACCTAATTCCTTCCTGGCCCATAATACTTCTTATCTCTGTTATATCTCGTCGTGTAACAAGTTTTCTCTGAGACTGAAACATTCCACCTTGCGGGGGGAAACTTCTTAAGCAGGAAAGTCAACAGTTTCAGGAAGTCCCTAAAACTGATAAGATTCACGAGGCCCCTCACAGTAAGAAATAAAGCTGAGAGGGACTAAGGGGAGCCAAGTTCTAAAGACCCTCAGACCAGGCTAGCTGCCTGAAAGAAACAGAAGTCAGCTGAAGAGGCTTAGACCAACTGAGTCATCACTTGAAGGGATGCTCTCCAAGCTGCTGAGCCGCCTGCAGGCTGTGCAGTGAGCTCCAGGTCCCCAGCTTTGGGAGCTGTCACCCAGGCTGGGGTGGGCTTTGGTGATGTAGCTGTCTTTGAGTCACATCTGCTCCTCTAAGTAACCTCTCACCCATATTCCTATAAGTAACCCCAATAAAACTCAGAGGTTCACCGAGTTGGACTTTGGTGGCATCCACACTTTGTTCTGTCCTGGGCTCCTTATATGGGGTGAGTAGACGTGTGTTGTATCTCCCTGGGAAGTTTTGTCGTGCTTCCGTCCTCGGTCTCCTTACCTCCTCTTTCCCCCCTCCTCTCACGAACCACCTAGCTGTCCCACCTGCAATGATTATCTCTGCATTGCTCTTCCCAGATCCTTCTCCCCACCCTGGACCATTTCCCAGCTCCCCTGAAGCCTCCCTTTATGCTTGCCTTGGACCCGTGCACCACACACTGTGTGGCTGAGTGAGGGCTGAGACCTGGACCCAACACATCCCTGCCGCAGTAGCTGGTCTTTGTCAGTGGCACACAGAGTGGCCTAGACTTCCTGCAGTTGGCCGTGATGCTCTCCCCAAGGCTGAGATATGCACATTTCTGTGACAGTCAGTACTCTTACATTCCCCCAACTCAGCAGGAGGGGATAATTCCTCGGGTCTTAAGTTCCTCCAGGTCCATCCTCTAACGGATGGGATGGCCGGGAGAGTTGGGATGCAGGTAGCAGTCTTGAGAAACAGTTCAGGAGACTCAGGACGGAGGTGAGCATCCCAAAGGATGGCGGAGCTGCTTCCCTTTTGGCCCCGCACTGTCTCCCAGAAAAAGCCTGCAAGGGTTGCGAACTGGAGTTCCATGAGGACTGGGAGAGGAGAGAGAGGTAAACCTCACGTGGGCTTTCCTTCTCTTTCAGCAGGCCCTGGAGACAGACCAGAAGCTAAGATAGTTGTCCCACGCTGCTTTCCAGAACTCTTCAAGAACTGGAAAGAAAAGTTTCTCCTGCTGGGTTTCGAGAAAACCAAAGGCTTCCAGGACTTTGGAATCAAACAGATCTGGCTAGCAGTGTCAGCTGTCACTTCTTAGCAATGCGACATTGACCAGTTAACCTCTGTGAGCCTCTGTTTCCGGCCCTGTGAAATGGGGCTCATAGGACCTACTTATTGGGTGTTTGAGGACCAATGCAATTTGAGAGGCACTTTAGAATCCCATAAACGGGAGCTCCTTCAAGCATCAGGCTCTTCGGTAGGGTTTTGGGCTTGCTGGCAGGACGCTTCTGAAAGCCAGCAAGGAGACCAGGTGCGTCGTCCAGATGAGCCCTGCTACTGAACAGAACTAGAGGCAGGGGAACGAGCATAGGCAGGCTGGGCACGTTTCCATGGTGCTGGGTCAAGCAGGCAGCCTTGGGGCAGCGACTGGCCCATTGCCCTCTGGGGGCACTCTCTCCCCATGAGGCTGATGTCCAATCCTATGGACTAATATGGAGGTGGAGAAGTGCATGAAAGGCAGAGGAGGGAGAGGAGAAGGAAGAGTCAACGGTGGAGAAAGGGCCGGGGAGAAGGCTGGAGGGGAAGTAAGGGCCAGGCAGGCACAGGGTGGGGCTGGGAGAGGGGCCCGTGGCCCTGAGGGCAGCGCCAGCCCTGGAGGGAAAGCTCCGACCCAGGGAGGGAGGAGGGACAGGGAGGGAGACCAGCAGCGCTGACACAGCCTCGATGTGTGGAACGGGCTGGGGTTTGGCCCACAGGTCAGGCGTCTGGCAGTATTATGGGATGGAGAGGCCTTAGGAGACAGGGAGAGTATTATGGGCTGGAACAGCCTTAGGAGACTGGGGAATATTATGGGCTGGTGAGGCCCGGCTCCAACTGGAGGCGGGAGGAAGGGGTGCGGGGCGGGAAGGGGGGGTGGTGGTGGAAGGGAGTATTATGGGCTGGAGGCCTCCTGCGACCAGAGGCAAGAGTATTATGGGCTGGCAAGGCCTTCGGTGGCCAGAGGGGGGAGCAGCGGGGGATGGCACCGGCTGCATGTGACTGAGGGGGGGCCAAGTTGGGGGGTGATGAGTGGGGGTGGGGGAGCTTATTATGGGATAGCTCTTTGTACCTACTGCGGGGACTGCTTCTCCAGAAGATATTATGGGATGTCGTGTGTGGGAGGGGGTGGGGGGCTGGGGAATTATTATGGGATGGTGGTGCAGAATTGGGTGGGCCTGAGGTGCTCTTCTCCCCCCCCCCCCCCCCCGCCAGTTCACCCCTTACTCTCTCACCGGTGGTTCTAAGGTCAGCCTCCCTCCAAGAGCCCAATGGGAACACCTGAAATTCATCTCTCTACACACTTCACCCACACACACCAACAGCCACTCCCCCCCTCCATACTGGGCACCTCAGCCCATCCTAGGCATCTCCCCTGTCTAGCAGCCACCTCCGGACTGTGGAGGGGAAAATGTAACTCCT